ATGTCCCAAGAAATCAACTTGAGACATATGGAAAAGACATTTCTCAAGTTTGCAAAAGAGTTGTGCTTGAGATAGCTTCTCTAAGACTTGTCTAACATGTAGAACATGCTCTTGAGTGTCTAAAGAGTATATAAGAATGTCGTCTAAGTAGACAACAACAAAGATATCCAAGTAAGGTCTTAGAATATCATTCATGAGAGCTTGGAAAGAAGCAGGTGCATTGGCAAGCCCAAAAGGCATTACCTGGTATTCAAAATGACCATAGCGTGTTCTGAATGCTGTCTTCCACTCATCACCTTCCTTGATGCGTATCAGGTTATAAGCTCCCCTGAGATCTAACTTGGTAAAGATCCTTGCTGAAGAGAGCCTATCTATGAGCTCAGGGATAAGGGGTAAAGCATATCTGTTTTTAACAGTGACTGCATTAAGGCCCCTATAATCAACACAGAGACGCAAGGAGCCATCTTTCTTCTTGACAAAGAGAATGGGAGCTCCTGCTGGTGAGGAAGAAGGTCTGATAAAGCCAGAACTAAGGTTCTCATCTAGGTATTCTCTGAGGGTTTTCAGCTCTAATTCAGATAGAGAGTAGATAGGGCCGTAGGGAGGCATTGAGCCTTCTGCGAGTGGTATCTCATGGTCATAAGGCTGGTGCTTTGGCAGAATTGATGCCTTTGCCTTGTCAAAAAGATGTTGGTAGTCTTGGTATGCTAAAGGCAAAATGACCTCCTGAGATGATTTCTCCAAATCTGAAGTAGCTGCTATCTCCAGGACAGGTTGGAAAGGTTTAACCCATATCAGAGATGATATATCGTCCATAGTTTGGTCAAAATCCTTGATCTGGGACAAGTTTGAGTCTTGGACCTGAATAGGGGTAACTGAGGCTTGAAGGGTTTTTTCAGTATTGAGCTCAGGATTTGAGCTAAACCCAAGCGATAAATGCTTCCAATTGATAGTTGGATCATGCCTTTGAAGCCATGGAAGACCTAGGATGACTGGGTACTTCATTGGTATAACATCTAAAGAGATGGTGTCTGAAAATGTTGATTTTCCTAGGGGAATCTCAAGTTTGAGTACTGGGGTGTTGCAGGTAATGGAACCTGAACTGATAGGAGTTCCATCAATGACTCGGAGCAACTCTGGAGTGCGTTTGGGAATTGTAGGTAACTGGTGTGTCAAGATGAGGTCTTGAGATATAAAGTTGCCTGTTGCCCCTGAGTCTATCATAGCCCTTGTAGACAACACCTGTTGTTTGAAATGGAGTTGAATAGGGATTAACAGGTGTGTGAGACTCTGAGAAAGCACCATCGACACATCTTTGTTGTCTAGGGAGAAGTTATAGTCTCAGTTGAAGTTGTGCCTGCTAGGGATTTTTCAAGTTTTTCAGGAATAGCAGTTGTGACTGTGTCTGAGGCTGCTATATGTTTTGAATCAGCACTCCCCCGTGCTGAATAGCACTCCTGAATTCTGTGTCCCCCTTTGCCACAGTATAAACAAAGGTTGTTGTCCATTCTGTGTTTTCTTTCTTGAGGGGTAAGTTTACCCCTTTTCAGTTTTTGAGGGTATCCTGTAGGCTGAGGTGCTGGATTTGCTGTAGATCTCTTTATAGAGGCGTCTAAGTCCATAGGTTCAGGTGCTGAGTCCTTAGCAGTTGGTGTAGAGGTGTAATTGTTGAAATTTCTTGTTGGATGCCAGTCTTGGTTCTTCTCCTTTCTTCTTTCAAAAAGCCTATCATCAAGTCTGACAGCTTTCTCTATAAGCATTTGAAGTGTTGTAGGGCGTTCTTCTTTGCTGAGTTCATCCTTAATAGAGCTCTTGAGCCCTTGGTAGTAAGTGAAGACTAAGGCTTCTTCATTCCAAGTCAAGTGAGAAGTGATTCTCCTAAATTCTGTTGTATACTGAGCAGCAGAGGTCTTTTGACATAGCTTCTGTAGCTCTCTTTCTGCTGTAGCAGTTTCGTTGATGTCTCCAAAGGTCCTGGTAAGTTCCTCTTGAAACTGGTCATAAGAGGTAATCAAAGGTGTAGTGGTATTTTGGTTGTTGCCACTAAGTCTTCTAAGATATGGCTCAAAGAAGTTGAATGCAGATCCACGGAGGTAGCTGGCAGCGAAATAGATCTTCTGAATGTCTGAGGTGAACTGATGAGGCCTGAGGGTGAAGTAGATGTCCAGTTGCATAAGAAATCCCTTCAACTTCCTCCTGTCTCCATGGTATAAATCTGGTGTTTGCACTTTAGGAAGTGCACCTGGGGTACTCGAAATAGCCAGAGGAGCTGTGGGAAGCTCTGTATGATGTGTCTGAGTTGAAGATTGTGTTGCTGAAGTGTTGGCTTGAAAGGTGTTTTCCAAATTCTCAAGTTTGTTTGCTATAGTTTGTATAAAGGCAAACAGTTGTTGCATCTGCTGTTCAGCAGTAGTTGTAGGAGCTTGGTCGTCCTCCATTGTAGTATCGAAGTGCTGCTATAGAAATAGTTGAAGCTTGAAGCAGACAAGGTGTAATGGTGAGTGCACCAGATATGAGAATCTAGCCACCCAAGGAAGGGATGAATTTACTAAGACAACACACTGTCTTAGGAAACAGAGCCAAAGGGTTGTAGCTTAGACTATTCCACAACGCAGCAATCAGGTGTATGATGTGGTGAAGTGGGTTAGACAAGTTGCAACAAATGTTGAGTCTGGGAACTCAGGGGTAAGTCAGAGGTTAACACCTCACTGACTTTTCAGAAACAAGGAGTAACAAGATGAATGCTTGGAAGCTTGTAAAAGACGTAGAAGTATGTGCTAGTCGATTTACTGTATTGTCTGCTTGCCCTTTCTTAAGGAAAGGGCAATCCTATTTATGCCAAAGGAGTGTAGTTCTCTTATTTTCCATGACTTTCCATGACTAACCAGGCTTGGTAAATGTATTAGAAATCAAGTGCGACCCACAACTAGCTTGCTAATCATGTAGTGAACGTAAGAGAATCCCATAGAACCATCTCTTGGGTTCCTAGCCTATAGGAAGTGAAAAGGAGGTCCAAGGTCAGAGTACCTATAGACAAATTATGTCATAACTTAACCAATCTTGTGGGTAACTAAGGAGCGATGACGTGTAATGAATCATAGAGGGTTGTAGAAGCTTCTAGAGCTATCGTTCATGTTCCTAGGCCTCTAGTTGGTAGAGATATGCCATGTGGTAGTATTGGCCCACCCCCTTAAGGAGGAGATTTTCTTAATAACTTGTTCAATGAGTGTCCAAATGATATGCCGTGATGTATGTAGCATAAACAGATGTAGTAGAAGAGTTTGCAGCAATCGTTGAGTAGTATTGCTTCTGTTGTTGGTGTGATAAGCCAAGATATGTATGGTGACTTGTAGGTTTGAGGAGGAGATTTCTAAGTTTGCTCTTGAGTTTGATAGCAAACTGAGTGCAACGAATGTCAGTATGACAGGGAGTCTCCATTCTCAATGGTGCAAGATCGCGCAAACCTTGCGGATGCTCAGCACCCGTCCACCATGTTATGACCTTTCCATGGTAGTCCCCCAGTTTTGAGAACATGAGCCCCGAAGGTTTCGTGGCCAGAAGAAAAACTTTATAGCAGATGTGATCTCTGAGAGTGATAAAGATGTTGTGTGCCTTCCTCTGTTTGTCGTTCAAAATGGCTTTCGAGATGAGGGCATTAGCTTTTCTAAGCCTTGCTTCTTGCACCGCACGTAATGGTTGAATTACGTTGGTAAAAGCACCCCGCTGGATCTCAAGCAACTCAATCAAATCTTCTTGCAAAAAGCAACAAAAAGTTTCGAACTAACACAAGGCAATTCGAAGTTTCCGAAACTTTGGCTCTTATATGCAATTCTTAACATGTCACACGACCAATAAGACCAACTGGCTTCTTCCGTCTCGACTGGCTTCACCCACCAATCCTATGTCTCCATGCGCACGGCAAGGCTACTTCTGGTAGCAGATTTCTGACACCTGCTTCTTAGATGGCTACTACCAATGAGCTGCAAATCATTAGAAGCAACGCAGTCAATGACGGGCCTTCCTTCGGCTCTTTGAAGTGATGTGGGTGGATCTAGGCATCACTGTACCTTCCGGTGCAGTGCAAGCTGTCTTTTCAACAGCTGTCATGACAGTTAAGGTCCCATTTGCGTGGCTATATATCCTCAAATTGAGCAAGTACTACCAATGCGTCTGTTCAGCGTTTCATTCCATATCACAAAATTGAATTGCCGCTAATACCTCGTTAGACATGAGCTAGGCACAAATAGGTTAGCTTTGATAAACTGGCGTTGAGGTCTCAAGTACCCGAAACCCATCTGACTTGGTTAGCCCGCCCAAATGATCACACGTGACCCACAGTTACTCAGAGTCTGCTCCTTAGAGTGAGAGACGAGAAGGCATCCTTACAGTAAGGATTGGGGCTCATAAGCCAGGAATTCGAGCAGCTTCGAGGCCATTATCACTTATATAGAGCGACGTATGTAGATACTGCTATACTACTGTATTCGCCTTACAATTACATGACATCTATCCAAGGTGATTACTACCTTATATTCTAACTACAATAGGAATCTGGCTGACTGTTAGCCTTGAACAGATAACTGTCTGACGCCGACAGTCTTACTTCCTATTTAGGAAATAGTGGGGTTCACGGCGAGCAGGGTTTGTACAGGGTTTGTACAGGGTTTATACAGGGTTCCTGGTCAAATTTTCTACACTAACTACATACAGGACTGTTGAAGGAGGTGTCTAACACCTGCTGAATCGCTCTACTGAAATGTAATGTAGTGCATGAGAGCTGTAGGTGAGCTGCATAACTTAATGGACAAAGTATTACATATAAGTACCTGTACATTTCACGAGTATTGTCGACTGGCGCCGTGGGCACCGGTTTGTAAGCAGCCTGCCATGAAGCCACAAAAGCACATGATTGGGCATTGGTCACATGACCCCAACACGTCAAACATGAATATTTCCACAACCCCCCACCAACCTCACTTTCCTTCTTCTTCAACAACGCGATGGCCACCACCACCACCCCCACCACCAAGGCTTCTGGCCTCAAAGCCACCGGTAAGTTCAATTCCTTCCTTTTCCTTTGTTTTGTTTGATTGATTACTCCTTCGGATAGAAGATCTGGCTGCCGTCGCCCCTGCCAACATCCTCACCACCACCACCACCACCACCACCACGACTGAAGCTGGCGCCGCACCAATGGCAACTGGTAAGTAACACCCCTCCCTCTGATCAATTGACAGATAGATACTAACAACTGGATAGATGAAGCTGCCTCCGAGTCAACTGTCCCGACCCCAACCTCCTGTAAGGACAGTTCGAACCGAGGCTGACCTTCGAGTCTGCAGAAGTATCGGAAGTATAACGTAAAGACTTCGATGCTCGAAGCAGTAGGACAAGGTATAGTAGTTCAGGCTCCAAAGCATATACTTTATACCACAGGGGTCAAGTGGTGAGACTAACAGGTTCGCCAAGTGGTTCGACTCGAAGTAAGGGAATTGTAAGGATGCCTTCTCGTCTCTCATTCTAGGGAGTAGACTCTGGGTAGCTGCGGGGTCACGTGTGATCATTTGGGTGGGCTAACCGAGTCGGAACCGAGTCGGATGGGTTTCGGGTACTTGAGACAATCGACTCACGGGGTTCCTGTCATACTGACATTCGTTGCACTCAGTTTGCTATCAAACTCAAGAGCAAACTTGGAAATCTCCTCCTCAAACCTACAAGTCACTATACATATTTTGGCTTATCACACCAACAACAAGAGCAATACTACTCAACGATTGCTACAACCATCTATGATTCATTACACATCATCGCTCCTTAGTTACTGGGCTGATATTACCACATAGCATATCTCTACAACCCTCTATGATTCATTACATGACATCACTCATACCACCACATGACATATCTCTACCAACTAGAGGCCTAGGACCATGAACGATAGCTCTAAAAGCTCCTATGAACCTCTATGATTCATTACATGTCATCGCTCTTTAGTTACCCACAAGATTGGTTAAGTTATGACATAATTTGTCTATGACATAATTTGTCTATAGGGGTACTCTTGTTACGATATCAAGTGCGCCTTGCAGCTCGAGTGGGGGTTCAGGGGTGTGGGGAGCTTTCCAGGGTTGGAGCGAAGTTTTCAGTTGTGGAGTGAATTCTCAGAACTAGTCTCGCTAAAGAGAATTCACTCCACAACAACATAGCTGTATATAGATCGAGCCACTGCTCGAGTGCTTCTCTTCTCTTTCCTTTCTTCTCTAGATTGAGTTTAATTCATAATACCCAACTGGCGCCCTATGCCTTGGTGAACCGTGACAACTCTGACCTTGGACCTCCTTTTACTTCCTATAGGCTACGAACCTAAGAGATGGTTCTATGGGATTCTCTTACGTCGACTACAGTTACCAAGCCTGGTAAGTCATGGAAAGTCTTGGAAAATGAGAGAACTACACTCCTTTAGCATAAATAGGATTGCCCTTTCCTTAAGAAAGGGCAAGCAGACAATACAGTAAATCGACTATCACATACTTCGACGTCTTTTCCAAGCTTCCAAGCATTCATCTTGTTACTCCTTGTTTCTGAAAAGTCAGTGAGGTGTTAACCTCTGACTTACCCCTGAGTTCCCAGACTCAACATTTGTTGCAACTTGTCTGAACCACTTCACTACATCACACACCTGGTTGCTGCGTTGTGGAATAGTCTAAGCTACAACCCTTTGGCTCTGTTTCCTAAGACAGTGTGTTGTCTTAGTAAATTCATCCCTTCCTTGGGTGGCTAGATCCTCACATCTGGTGCACCCACCATTACAATTTGGATATATCTTCTTGAATACTGTATGATTCATTCGTGGGTCGCAAATTGTAGCAACAGCTGAGTGCTTACACTGCTGATTCGTCGTAAGAGTATAATACTCATTGAGCTTTTGAAGTGCAGCTCCACAAGCTACTCCGATCGCAGAGCTTCTACCAAGCTCCTCTTGTAGCGATGTGACCTTATTTATCATCTTCAAGTAAAGAGGAATAGTAAATTTAAGTGTTGGATATGAATCACTTTGTAGCCATCTTGATGGCTTTAAGAATACCAAGAATAATTGTTCGAGAGCTTCGATAATAGCCCAATCGTTGCTTGTTAACGCAATATCCTTCATACTAATATCAAGCTTCTGCGTAGAGCATACTGCAGTAATCGGTATTTGAAGCTTTATAGCTGTTTCAAGCATATAGTACGTTGAATTCCAGCGTACAGGCATATCAAGTGATAACTGGCGTGGCTTCTGGCCTGCATCTTTCATCTGCTTCTGTAACGCATCCTTCCATGCTCTTCAGTTTCGAAAGACATAAATATGCCTTCGGAGCTTCTCAAGTGTAGCTGATACTTCAGTAGAAGAGTTATCAATACGTTGCAGAATCCGGGCAAGTCCTTGCTGACACCAGTACGCCTCTGTTTCTGTATCTGGGCTGGCTTTCAAGCTCTTTAGAGCAGCTTGAACTGCAAGATTGATAATATGAGCAATACACCGAATGTCCCCATCCTTTATAGTAAACGTCCATGGCTGTTGAATAGTCGTCTGCCACTCACTAGCTATTTTCTCATATTCTGAAAGCATCACAGTATTCGCCGAGGCATTATCCAGCGTACAAGTAAAGACAGCACCTGTAATTTCGAAGCTATCTGTTACTGCAGCTAACTCTTGAACAAGATATTCACCGCTATGAATTGGCTCTTGAAGGTGGATTACATCAAGTAATATGCACCGGTGCTGCCACTTCTCATTAATCCAATGACCTGTGACAGCAGCGTACTCTGTATAGTTCCGCGCAGTCCATGCATCTGTTGTGATAGATATCCGGCCGCAATAGGTAATATGAGACTGGAGTTCTAATTGTAGCAATCCTCGGTGATATGAGAATTGCCGCTGTAGCTCTCGGTGTAGCGTTCGTGACGATATCGACAGAGTACTTGAACTGGTACTAATTGATGGAACGAATATCTCTCAATAAGTCGCAAGGAGAGGTTATTTGATACAACGAATGAGAGTAATAAGTCTCAGTATTTCGCTCTACTATTCGATGCTTGAGCTTGAGCAGGCTGGACTTGCAGGTTCCGCGGCCGTGGCTCAAAAAAGGACGATGCACTACTTGATGGGCTTGACGGCGTAATCATATGACCTTTCATTGTATATGCTACTGTTGGATGCTTCTGGGTATAGTGCTTCCAAAGATTACCAGTTGAAGTCTGACTTAATAGCTGCGGAGTAGGTGAATATCCGCAGTCTGGTTGCAAGCAAGTTACCTTAACTGTAGGTGGGTTACTATCAAGTATCAATCGCGAATACAATAGCTTCGTAAATAGTATCGACGACATCGGTGGCAGCATCCGTCCTGGAGGCTGGAGCCGGAGCGGTGTAGGATTAATATCCTGTTGAATATAAATAGGGGGCGGTAGCGTCGGCAGACTTGGCTCATTATGAGTATCATAGCTATTATAGCCCTCAAGCTCTGTCGGTATATCTGATAACGACGAGTCGCTCATTCTGAGGATAAATATCACTTTATACAGCATCAATACAGGTCTCACGACGTTGGAAAAAAGAGGTCTTGGCTACGCTTGGCTATTCTTGGCATATATCCGGATATATACTCGAGAGTATCCGGTTATGCCGGATACTCCTAAAATATCGCCGGGTAGGTATATACTCGAGGATATACCCGGATACCACGGGTATATTGGTATCCGTGCCGAACACTGGGAAGGCGATGAGGAGTGATTTCAATTGATTCACGGCGTTAGGGTTGAGTTTTGGGCTGGAATGCCCAAAACTCAACCCTAACGCCGTGAATAGTGATGAGGTGGCCGGCTCGGGGATGTGGCCAGCTCGGTAGAATAATTCTCATAAAATCCCATCAGTGAAAATTATATCCCACCATGGAACCCCAAAACCTTTCCTAGGGATGTAAAACAAACATATTAAATCTTCCATATAATGGTCACGCAAAACACACTAACAAGTGATCATAGTAGTTGTTACTTTTTTTTGTGACTTTGATGGCCGAGTGGTTAAAACCGGACTGAGCCAAGCTCCCAGGTCACGTGAGGTGGTGTTCATTTCGCGTTTCTACCTACCTCGCCAACGCCACCACCCCTTGATATTATACCACACTTCACTACAGGATAAGAAACATTTATCGATGTCTTAAGTCCTTCAATGGATCCATATTTCAGAATTTTTGTTGTATTTGGAATTGTCTAGTTTTGCGTTGTAACTTCGACGTGAATCTCGGAGTTTCGTCATTGTTTCCTCAGATCTCAGCAAACACCTTGTCTGTCACATTCACCGAGCCCAAACCTGCAAGTAACCGTCAAGATGTCGTACCGCGTTGGTGAGTTATCTCTTTTTAGATTCTGCAAACAAAAGATTACCCACTAACCTCTCCCAGAAATTGCCAAACAAGGGCGTGCCGGGTGCCAGAACACGGCTTGCAAGGCAGAGGGTATCAAGATCCAGAAGGGCGAGTTCCGCTTCGGGACATGGGTCGAGATGGAGCACGGTGCAAGCTTTCGGTGGAAGCATTGGTAAGTTATTTGTTCCGTATTCGGAACTCATAAGTTCGATAGGGCTGATTTTATGGGCAGGGGATGCGTGAGTGGGTTCCAGATGCAGAATCTGCGCGAGTTCCTGAAGCAGGGAGATCCGGATGGAGAGTACCAGTGGGATTTTATGGATGGACTTAATGAGGTGCCAGAGGAGTATCAGGAGAAGCTGAAGACAGCTGTTATCAAGGGGAAGATTGCGGATGAGGATTGGAAGGGGGTATTATTTCACCCCAGTCGTGTTTTGTTTGCAAAGACTCACGTGTACAGGATCCTGCGTATAACGAGCTCGGACAGAAGGGCACGCAGCCCAGAGCTAAGAAGGCCAAGAAACCTGCAGAGGGTGAAGATGAGGTAATGCATACCCCTCGTTATCACAGATAGACTACCATTCTGATGAATTTTAGGACGCCGACGGTGCAGCTTCTGCTCCTACTCCCAAGAAGCGCCGTCGCGGCAAGAAAGCTGAAGACAGCGACGAGGAGGACGCGAAGCCAGCCCCAAAACGCGCTAAGAAAGCGAAGAAGGAGGAAGCTGAGGCTGACTCTAAACCTGCGCCTAAGAAAGAGCCTGTGCTCAAGAAAGAACGTCGTAAGCGTGCCACGAGTAAAGAGGACTCTGATGAGGATGAGGTGATGCCGACCCGAACATCTCGGTCTAGGAGGAGTACCAAGAAGGAGGAATCTGCAGATGAATTGGGGATTGAAGATGAGGCGAAGCTTTCTGTTGAGGATAAGCCAGCGAAGAAGTCACGCGCCAAAAAGGTCAAGCAAGAGGCTGTCAATGAGAACGGCGCTGCTGTTGAGGACGAAGTGCGAAATGGTCGTGCTAATGGTACCAAGCAAGAGCTGAAGGAGGAGCTGGCGGGTATTAAACCGGAGCCAGAGGAAGACGGTGTTGTGGACATGCCTGATAAAGCCACTAAACCCCGTGCGAAGAAGGCCAAGCGCGAGTCTATCAAGAAAGAAGAGCGCGACGACTCAGCCGTTGCTTCTCAAGTGAAGAATGAAGATGAGGATGTGGTGGATCTTAAACCAAAGCGGGAAAGACGAGTCAAGAAGGAGGAAGCCCCGGAAGTGAATACTGAGGACGTCGATGGTCATGCTGAGGCGGAGGAAGAAGAGATGCGTGGGAAGAAGAGGGCGAAGGCTGAGCTGACTGAGGAGGTTAGTCGGTGCGAGGACGCGAACAAGACGTAGCAGGGGTTAGATGGCTTTGGAGGGCTTGAGGGGGTGGGGTTGGATTGAGATGGATAGGGATGGTGACGATGGTATACTTACATGGATGGAGGTAATTAAAAACGAGCAGTGCTGAACCTGGCATTTGTTGTGACATATTTCTTGGGCGATGCAGCTTTCACGAGATCACCCAATTCCTCTCATCCCCTCCGCTAATCACAGTGACTGACACCCCCTTAGCCGTCTCCAGCCCCCCAAAAGCCAAAACCACAGAAACCGCCCAAAATAGGCAAAAATTACAAAAAAATTAATGCTCCGGATCATTTACAGCCGGAGCGTTAACTTGAGCGGGGGGCCCGCTTGTCTTAAAGGCGCCCCTCCAACACGTGGTTCTTCCCCCTGAGCCACCTGGTATTTTTGTTAGGGGGGGGACTGGTATTTGGGGGTATATGGCTTGGTTGTGTCAGGACGGGAGTGGGGGTTGGTTTTATATTAGGTATTCCTAATTCATATTGCTAGATTTTTGCACTTTGATAGTCGAAGACTGTGATAGGTCTACACAAGGTGTATTGCCAACCGCACTCATCTATAGTTCGGACCGTCAGATGCATATTCCTGGTTTACACATCAACAGTCGTACGCCCTGAGCTGAGGGAAGTCTACTGTGTACAGTTTGGTTCCTCATATCTAAAGACGGTCTAGATATTCTACCCCATCTACGTCACCTTATTCAATCTCCGTAACCTCTCTAATAACTTCATGTCCATCCCCCCACGCCCCCTCCGTCCCATCACTCCTCCCCACCTCCTCAACAACCTCCCACACCCCCCTCTCCTCCCCACCCACCCCCCATCCCACCACCCTATTCCCCTTCCCACTCTTAACCTTCAACCCCAACCTCCCCTCCACAACCACAACCCCAATCTCCCTCGACCTCCCCCCCGCCTCCTTACTCACCAAACATGGACTAGCCATCTCCTTCCACCCCTTCAACCCCTCCCCCACCCCAGCCTCCTCCCCTTTCTCAACAACAGCACGCACCACCGCACACCCCGCCGCCCACCATAAAAACGTCCTCACCTCCTCCACTGACGGGTTCGGCGGCGCACGACACACCGCCGCGAGCGCGGGCGTGATTTCAATGCGGAAGCGAGTTTGGATACCTAGATCGGAACGGAGCTTGATAGTCACGCTCTGGTTCGCGGGTAAGGGGACTAGGAACTCTGCCTCGCGCGAGGAGAGGAGGGCCGCGACGCGCTCTTCTGTGGAAGTTGCCGGGGTCGGGGTAGCTGGTAGTAAAGTTGCGGCTGGGACAGTGAGGGAAGCGGCGCAGAGGGTGGTGGTTAGGGATGCGGTAGTGGCGCGCAGGGCGGCGAGGACGCCGATGTGGTGTTCGTATGCGAGGAGGGGGCGGAGGAGCGCGTAGGGTGGGTTTGGGCGCGGGGCGGAGCTGATGGGGGGAGGGGGCTGGGTGCGACGGCGTTGGTTCTGGCGGTGTGCGTAGCTGAGTTCGAGGTGTAGGGCTAGGGAGAGCATGGTGGCGATGTCGTCGTGGGCGCGGGGTTGGGGGGTAGTGGTTGGGGGGGAGGTGGAGAGGGGCTCGAGGCGCAAGAGGATGCGGGTGGAGGGGGTGAGCTGGCAGGAGATCTCGTCGCCGGTCATGCGGACGCTGTGGTTGGCGAGGGTGCGGGCTTCGCGGTTGAGCTCTTGCCAGAGCTCTTCTTCGAAGATGGCGTTGCGGGAGCGGAGGACGAGGGTTTCGAGGGAGGAGGAGTCGGGGGCGGAGGTTTCGGGGGCGAGGGCGCCGGTTAGGACGCCGTTTGTCTCGATGTGGATGAGGACGCGCTTGGGGGTTGGGTCGGCGGCGCCGTGGTCGAGGTAGGCGGTGCCATCTGGTTGGCGGCGGAGGGCAGCGAGGCTGCGGTTGCTGAAGGCGGGGGCGGCGTCGAAGAAGCCGAAGCGTACGCCGAGGGTATGTTGCTCTTGGGGTAGCTTACAAGTCTTCCAGCCCTTCTCGTCAACAGACAGAATGGCCTCCCAGTACTTTGTCTCGGCTGCGATTTCGGTCTCGAGGCGTGAGGCGGCGTTCAGGATGGATTCGACGCTGGTGTTGAAGCTTTGGATCTTCCAGCCCTTGCCGACAGCGGCAATGTCTTTCTTGCGCGGCTCAGTAAGGCGTGTGTCTTTGACGCGGTCAGCGCCGAGGGTGCCTAATGAGACAACGTGGCGCAGACCGTCTGATATTGAGAGACCGGCTTGTACTGGTTGGTCTTTCGAGAGGAGAAGCGCAACGAAGTCGAGTGCGATCATTGAGGCATGGTGTGCTTGTCTAGGTGGGTAGTATCAGCGTATATCCTGTTTGCAATTGCACATCGGCGAATCTCACTCTAATTGGGCCAGCATCTCGGCCTTCGCGTCCATAACTTCCTTCTGCCGATCAGGCGCTGCTTCGGTCTCATCCTCGGTGCTCACGTCCTCATTGTCTGCTGCAGCCTCATTCTCTCCCTTCGCAATCTCTTCCCGAAGGCCTTCTTCCGTGAGGTTCCTGAATTGGCCTCTTTCGGCGTTGATTCGAGATATGAGAGTCGGGAGCGCCGAGCCATTCCCTTCTTTGGTGGGCCATGGTCGCAAGGACATGGGGAAGTTGTGGGGTATGCCGCTCATTGTGGTGTTTTTGGTGGTTCAAACGTTACTGGAATGCAGTTATCGCCCTCACCATCTCATAGAAAAACAAGTGAAGAGCAACAACAACGCAGGACAAGTTCACCGAGCTCTCGAGGAGCTATTATCAATCAACACACTGTCTGAAGCCGTGATATTCTTAGCGCAGCCGCCAATCAACACCCACCTACACACGAGCTAACGGGACAATCGGACCGACACTTTTTCCGATCAGCTAAACGCCCACTGCCACTGCCACTGGTAATCGATGAAAGCGGCCGATCGGCCGCCGACGCTACCAAGCACCCACCGCCGTTCTTTTGTCCGTTGTAGATGCGTGGTTGAGCAAATGCCATCACCCAATCTCAAGCTATCAGTGGCCAGTCTAGCCCCACACTTACAGCATCATACTTTAGAATTCTTGTCACAGTTGCCCCTCACTCCTACAGCTCAATAATAAACTTCATCTCCCTCGAATTGTCCTTTTCTCAAAGTACCCTCGAATATCGAATAACCTCAATCTTTTCCTGTGCTTTCCACCACCCTAAAAGTGATCATAGATAGCACAGTTCTGTGACGTACATACACCCCCACCTTGCGCAAGTTCTATCTATTATTACCTGCACGAGCTGCAAGAGATCGCAAATATGGGCATGCTCGATCCTAGACCGGATGGCCAGAAGGCCGAGTTGCTTCCCAATGGCAAGAGACGCAAGATTGCCATGATGACGAGTGGCGGTGATGCGCCCGGAATGAACGGAGCTGTACGAGCTGTCGTCCGATCCGCGATTGACGAAGGCTTCGACGCATACTGTATATATGAGGGCTACGAGGGCCTTGTGCAAGGCGGAGATCTCATAAAGCAAATGTTGTGGGGCGATGTCAGAGGCTGGCTCTCCGAGGGTGGTACGCTGATCGGAACAGCACGCTGCAAGGCTTTTTACGAACGCCCCGGGAGACTGAAGGCTGCCAAGAATATGGTTATCAATGGCATTGATTCCCTCATTATCTGTGGTGGTGATGGTTCTCTTACGGGTGCGGACAAGTTCCGATTTGAGTGGCCCGGCTTGCTGGAGGAGCTGGTGCAGACCAAGGAACTCACGGAAGAAGAGATCAAGCCCTTCATGCACTTGACAATCGTTGGTTTGGTAGGATCTATCGACAACGACATGTCCGGTACGGATGTGACGATTGGTTGTTTCTCGGCGCTGGCACGCATTTGCGAAATGGTTGATTACATTGAAGCTACTGCGTCGTCACATTCTCGCGCGTTTGTTATTGAGGTTATGGGCAGGCACTGCGGCTGGTTGGCCTTGATGGCCGGTGTTGCAACGGGCGCAGATTTTGTCTTTATCCCGGAGAAGCCGAGAGCAGACAACTGGCGTGAGGAGATGTGCACAATTATCGCGAAGGTGAGTAACCGCCCCGGTTACCAGGCTACCCTACTAATTCAATATAGCACCGTGGAGCCGGAAAGCGAAAGACTATTGTTATCATGGCTGAAGGTGCCAATGACCAACAAGGGAATAAAATAACGCCTGAACAAGTCAAAGACTTGCTCGCCGACCCAAAGGGCCTTGCACTCGATACAAGAATCACAACCCTTGGACATGTTCAACGTGGAGGGCAAGCATGCTCGTTTGACCGAACATTGGCCACACTCCAAGGAGTTGAGGCTGTGAGAGCCGTTCTTGATGCGAAGCCAGATACACCCACATGTTTCATCGCGATCAACGAGAACAAGATTGTTCGAAAGCCTCTGATGAAAGCCGTCCGCGACACGCAGGAAGTCGCAAAAGCTATTCAAGCCCGCGACTTTGATAGGGCGATGGGTCTACGTGATACGGAGTTCGCAGAGATTTATGCTTCTTACTTGATAACTACTGCAACATCTCTTGACAAAGCTATGCATTTGCCATCCCAGAAGGTATGTATCCACAGCCCCCTTACTAGGTCAATATGTCTAACGCTTTTGTCAGTGCATGCGTATTGGTATCATCCACGTAGGAGCGCCGGCTGGTGGCATGAACTCGGCAACCCGAGCTGCCGTAGCATACTGCCAGACCCGGGGGCACACTCCAGTCGGCATATACAATGGCTTTGCCGGATTTACGAGACACCACGGCGATGAGCCGCTCGGAGCTGTCAGAGAGTTCGACTGGCTCGAGGTTGACAGCTGGGCTTCCAGGGGCGGATCAGAGATTGGCACAAACCGAGAGCTTCCAAGCGACTCCGGCATGGCTACAGTCGCAGAGCTAATTGCGAAATACAAGATCGACGCCATATTCATGGTGGGTGGTTTCGAGGCTTTCCATGCTATGTCCCAGCTCCGCCAAGCAAGGAAGGAATTCCCGCAGCTGGCTATCCCCATGACTCTCCTGCCAGCTACGATATCAAACAACGTCCCAGGCACAGAATACAGCCTCGGGTCAGATACCTGCCTCAACGAGCTCGTCCGCTACTGTGACACAATCAAGCAATCTGCATCCGCCTCCCGCCGGCGCGTCTTCGTCATCGAAACCCAAGGCGGCCGCTGTGGCTACGTCCCCGTCCTCGCGGGCCTCAACGTCGGCGCCACCGCCATCTACACCCCCGAAGAAGGCATCAGCATTGACATGCTCGCCGCGGACATCCGACACCTCCGCAAGGCCTTCGCCGAAGACTCCGGGCAGTCCCGCGCCGGTCGCCTCGTCCTCGTTGGCGAGAAGGCGAGCAGCGTCTACTCCGCCAAGCTGATCGCGGATATCATCCGCACCGAGGCACATGGACGCTTCGAGTCGCGCGATTCGATCCCAGGACACGTGCAGCAGGGTGGCACGCCATCGCCGATGGACCGCATCCGCGCTGTGAGGCTGTCGATCAAGTGTATTGAGCACCTTGAGAAATTCACCGGTGCGTCGGCGCAGATGATCACGGACGATGCGCTGAGCAGCAGTGTGATTGGGATCCGTGGTGCGAGCGTGACGTTTACGTCGATGGAGCACGTGGAGTCGAAGGAGACGGATTGGGCGAATCGCAGACCGCTGGAGGTGTTCTGGGCGGATATTGAGCCTGTTGTTGATACGCTGAGTGGAAGGCCTGAGATTCCGAGGCCGGAGACGGATTTGAAGGGGCAGAGGGCGAAGGATATTAAGAGGGGCCTTGTGAAGGGTCCTGTCTAAGGGGAGGATGGGGGTGTTTTAGCTGGGCTCAAAACTTGAATCTTTAGCACTTTTAGAATATGACAGACGGAATATTTTTAACGGGACTGGCCAGTTGCGGCAGTATTTTAGTATATTAGAGGTTGGTCTTGACTCTGAAGTCACATGTCTTGGCGCTAAAGTCGTTGCCTTTCATCACATCTCGAAACCTCTACACTCCACAACACCACCGACAACTGATCATGTTGCTCGATATTGCGCAACAAACAAGGCAGTCGGCTTATCTCTCAGCTAAGTTCACATTGCATACCATCTATTCCCTCTTCTTTGTCTATTTTCTTCCGTTGGTACGCTCCCGTCGATGCTGTTTCTTTGTTTCGAGGGTGTTGGGTTGAAAGGCGTGCAAGCCGCCACACACTCCGAATTTGATGCGAAGATCCATCTCGGACTACCGTTTGCGGCTTGACCTTATGGAAAGGTTTTATTTTCGATTTGGGACGAAGATGCAGTCCTTCGATCGCGGAAATATAGGACTTGAGAGCTGCTTCCTGGCTGTCGTTCAAATATCCGCAGCTCTATAGCCGTGTCATTACATCGTTCGAAGTCATGAAGCTGACTCTTCTATTTCGCCGCTGTCTTGGTATTTGGTTATGGGTGCTTTCAGAAGTATGGAATTAGTACCTGCTTCATTTAGTTGGCTTACGGTGGGTGACAATGTCACATCTCCTTTCAAAGAGTTATTGAGATATTTCTTTGTCAACTTTCCGGGTGCGTCGATCATCTCTCTCTGATGTGGGTTCCCATAAATTCCTCATAATGTTAAATGGAGCGTTGGCTTTCTTTAAAGTTTTAAAGGAAGGGTTGGCTACTGCATCAAACTTGCGATCGATTGATTCTATTGTCCATACATACTTGACATTATTCCCAAATCTCATTCAGTTGTCAAAACACTCTTTGCTGTCGCAGAGGTCGATATCTATCCTAATGGCTGCTCCTCCGATAAGCCCTCCTCCGTATGCCGAAAAAAGCCCCAGAACACCGAGGAAATCCCTTTCGAATCCTCTAGGAATCCTCAACTTTGGGACACCAGGAAATACACCGAGGAAAATAACGAAAGAACGCTCTCGATATGACACTCCAGGCTCGGTGGCCAATAAAGCATACTTCAACGCTAGTCCTGATGTTCTGAAGGAATTCTTGGTATGCCTAGCAAAAGGATGGGCCCCTGAGCTCACGAGTGGAAATAAGCAACTTTGTGGAGTGTATGCTCTGCACCAAGCCTTTCGAAGCATGATGGGCGGGACCAAAGCCTTGAACGGTTTCGGGTTCACAGCCTTGAGGGGTGAAATCGATAGCGAGAAGTTCCGGACATTTCACAGAAAAGCCATAAGAAACCGGATGGAAAAGGCCGGCTTTCAAGGGGCTGATTTGGATGAAGCGGTGAAACAAGCGATAGACCAAGCAGACTTTGGGAGCAACGAGTTCTATAGTGTCGAGGAATTGTCAGAGTTTATCCGATATATCAACAGGATGTACAACGTTCAGTATCGTCTTGGAATCGTCTCATCGTATAAAAAGCAGGTAACATCAGCTTACATTGTCGAAGGCGATGACCAGTTCAATCAGGTGCATTACCGCGTTCTTTGGCTCCATAATATCGGTAACACTCATTGGGAAAGCTTTGGACCAAAGTCAAGCGCGGCAGGCCGGAAAGCTCGACGCAGTTGGAGGCTTACAGAAAACTTGGCAAAGGTGGCGAATAACGGCCTCTATAGAGTCACGGTTGCCACGCAAGGAGCCCCGGACGAGTATACCCTAACAGCCCTTATTGACCAGTGGGTGTTTCAAGTGGCGCCGCCAGCGGGTCTCGAACCAAGAGAGGGCTTCATTTATGTCCACACCACCAAGGGCCCCAATTCAGATAGCTGGCGCGTCGTCGGCGAGTCGTCCATGGAGACGATTCGCAATCAAGAAGGATTCATGCCTTTAGCCAGCCTTGAAGTAGTCAACAGCCACAAAACTCCTCATGATGGAAGGATGGAGGAAGTAGTCAGGAAGCCTACAAATATTTTAGACCAGCGAAAGCGAAAGCGGACGCCACCACCTCCGGAAGAGCCACCTGCCCCAAGCCGGACGCCCGGCGCCCTTCCTGGTACTCTTGGGGGATATACTACAATGGGGGGTACCACAGGAGGTCAGGAGCAGCTTGGTCAGGGGCCAATACCAACGGGGTTGCCTGGTCACGTTACGGGCCCTCCGATCCAGCTGCCACCAACCCCCGGGACCGATGGCCCAACTATCAGAGGGCCACAAACCAAACAGCCAGGACCCACGACTACCCAGACTCAGGGGCCGCAGGCCAGACATCTAAGGCCCGAGGAACTGATCGTGCAGACGACCCCCCCGCCTACACTGCGCGCAAAGGTGATAGACCTCAACACGCCCCTTACAATCCAGACATTTGTCGCCCGCCGAGCATTCGCCCCTCCCCCCCACACCAACGCAACACCAGTCCAATCCCTCGGCGCACGCCCCCGCCTTCCCCCCAGCCGCCCCAAGAGCAGAACCACGGCCGAGTTTACGGCAACCCGCAACCAGAAGAACGACTGGACCCGCACGCGCTTCCTAAACTTCTTCATCGCCGACGTCCCCGACGCCGACGAAACGGGAAAGCGATTCGGTCCCAACCACGACCAGCCATACCACCAAGACCAGGTCCTGCTCGGCCTCGACGACACCTATGAGCCTGGTGTGTCTGGGCCGGTGCGCGTGCGCACCATCGATGAGGATGAGGGGTGGGCGCACTCGGAGAATCTGCGCAAAGTCACGGACCCCTTCGGATTAGACCTCAATAGCGCGACCACGCAGTATAGTATGGATCCCAACGAGGCCTTCCGCGAGGACCTGTACCCGACGGCCTTCCTACGGGGCCTGTGCCAGGGCGCGCGGATCGATCCGACGGGGAGCAGGCAGGAGATGATGGCGGGGCTGACGGCGTACCGGATGGGGCTGGGGGTGCCGCTTATCTTGTACCGTCTTGTTGACGTGGTGGGCGTCTTCTTCAAGGACGATCTGGTGCGTGTCCCTGGCCATCCGCTGGCGAATCCGGGGGGCGTGTTCCGCGCGTTTGGGCTGGAGCCGCATAAGCGCGGGTATGTGAGGGGAGGGGATCTGGTGGCGGAACCGAGGTCGTGGGGCGCGAGGGTGAAGCCTCATGTGCATGAGTTGAGCGCGCCGGCTGATTTGAAGTGGGTGCAGCCGCCGAGGGATGTTGGGGATTTAGTAGGGAAGGGGAATGGGTTGTCGTTGCATGGGATGGCTACGCCGCCGCGGGAGGGGAATGAAGGGGAGGAGGGGGAGGAGGAGAGGAGGCAGAGGGAGGCGGGTTTTGCGTTGTCAGCGACGGTGGTGCCTGCGCGGCACCGGGGCCAGGTACATACGTCAAAGGATGGGAGCCTGAGTTTTTTTACTAGGTTGCCGCCGTCGCCGCAGATGGGTCAGGCGTCTCAGACGGCTCAGACATCTCGGACGAAACGGGTAGCTGAGGAGGAGATTGGAGGTGATTGGACGAGGAGGCGGGTAAGTCAAGAGGTAAGTCAAGGGTAAGGAATGAGGAAGGAAAGGATCGAAGGACATAGGACTTCTCAAAAAAATGGCTATGGGGCTGAAGGGTGGAATCTGGCAATATCTACAGTGTTTTTTATTTTGGCTGAGTTATTCTGCCATTGCGGCGTTGGAATATGGAGAGTTTGTTTCATGCTGTTTGTTGCTTCCTTATTTCGTTCTGCTGTACCTTCCAGTTCTGTACTGTGCTGTACTGTGTGTTTGCTTTAGGTTAGAACACGGGGATAAATTTATCACATTTTCCATTTGAGTACGTAAATTTTTTTTAAAAAAATATCTGCCCACCGCCAACCCCTTTCAGCTTTTCTGCCAATGTGATAATTTCCGTACCACCACCATCATCACCACACCACCACCAATTCGGCCGCTCTTACCGCAATCTTGACGACGGTGACGAAGATCCGCTATTTCGACAGCTTCCGTCCTCATTGGGCCATGGCTTCGCTGCCTCTTCTCTCGGTACCTAACCATGGCACCAAGTTCTACGACTGGAGTCATGGGGGACCGTCGGTCCCGAACCGCCGGTCCGAAGATTTTCCAACCTAGACCGATGTGGTCCCCCACCGGTCTACCAAGAAACCGGTCACATGATAATAATATTACTATAATATTTACTATAATGTAGCTATATAGAGTAAGTAGGCATGTAGGTAGGCATGTAAGTAGTAAGCACGTGAGTAAGCATCTGAGTAAGCACGTGAGTAAACACGTAAGTAGGTACGTACCTAAGGTATGTAGCTATAAGAGTGAAAGCAAGAGTAAGAGTAAGAGCGAGAGTAATAGAAACATAAGAGCAGCTATAATAACACCCTTATTTAGTTAGTTAGTTAGTGGAATATCGTTTATACGAAATTAAGGGCAAAAGAATTCAATACCATGCATCACCCCTGTAAAGAACTTGATACCTAGTAGATAGCTAAAAGAATACAATACCCTACGAATGCCACCAAATTCGTGACGTTCTCCCTGACTCCCAACTCCTGCCTCCAGAAGGCTTTCCATGACCAGCTGCAGCACCCCTAATGCCCCCGTAGCCCCTGTAGCCCCCTTCCTCTACAACGAGAGGGTACCAGATCTGGTACTCTCGCCACAACAGCTCCAAGAGGGAGCAACCCTCCATGATCCCGCTCTCGTCGCTAGCGAGTTAGCAGGCGCCAGCGAGGTTGGCGACGGTGAGGTGGCGGCAGCGAGGGTGGCTCTATTCGAATGATCACCATCGAAAGCACCTAAAGCATCAAAAGGGGAAGGTCAGGAATAGACGGCTATATCACTTATCTATATTTAGATCAAGCCTGGCACTGAGTTCTTTACAGGGGTGATGCATGGTATTGAATTCTTTTGCCCCGAAATTAAATATCCACTATAATCTAACTTTTACCTTAATTAGGAAGTGAGTTACACTTAGTCGCTCTTAGCTCCTCTTAGTACGTGCTTACTCACGTGCTTACTCAGATGCTTACTCACGTGCTTACTACTTATATGCCTACCTACAATGCCTACTTAAATATAATAGTAATAACTACTCCGTATTAGCTACTATAATATATAAATTACTAATAGGTGTACCCTAATTATAAGAAGAAAGAAAAGGCACGAAGAGGAATAAGGCAAGTAGAAATAGGGGTATTCTTACTATGAATCACTTCTTATTAAGTGACTCATTTCTACTATTATGAATCTTACTCTACTATGAATCACTTTCTTTATCAATTTGGCCCGTTTCATGATTCTGGAGTTGCTGGAGCGGTTTGCTGATGTCGTTCGCTTAATTATTCCGACACCGGTGTCCGTATACTGGAACTCGGCAATCAGGCACGAGGTAAAACCGTACTAACCATGCATGCGTATATCCATCTTTATCTCCTCAACCACACAACATCGCCCATCTATTCTATATTCAGCCAATCGGTCGTTCTTCGCTGGCCTTGTCTTGTCGTCTATTGATCCTATCGACTTCTTTGCATTCATGATTACAGTCTATACCCCTCCATGTGGGGCGCTTGTTCCTGCGCTTGTATTTATGCAAGGATGTTACACAACCGCCCCTTCAAATGCTGATCTTCAGCAATTGCATCGTGGGCACGTGGGCTTCTACCCAAACGCGAGTCGACACGATCAGAAGAACAAATCAAAGGAAGCTCGAAGCTATCAAGGTACTGTAGGAAGTTTGTTTTTTTGGGGTCTCAGGTAAATATAAACCCTCTCGTCGCTCTTTTCTTTTCCAGTCAACCTGTCACCCGCGTGGCGTTTTTTCTCCAGTTCTTTTCGGCTTCACCATCTTCACAATGGCGCGATTCCCAGCTGTCTTGGCTACGGTCGTTTCCACCTTGCTCCAGGCATTCCCCGCCAATGCTGCCACCGATGCCGCGGCCGCCAATGCGACTATGAACTCCCAGATTCGCCTAGCGTACGCCGGTGATACGGGCATGTTCGTTAGCTGGAACACTTTTGAGCACCTGTCGAACCCAACTGTGCACTACGGTCTTTCCCTGGATGCATTGACCGAGACAGCTTCATCTGAGGTTTCGATAACATACCCTACTTCACTGACATACAACAACCACGTCAAGTTGACCGGTCTCAAGCCGGACACGCTGTACTACTATCTCCCAGGCCACCTTTTGACCGCTACCGACACGTCGGTCCCATTTACTTTCAAGACCAGCAGATCTGCTGGAGATGGCACGCCTTACTCCGTGGCCATGTTTGCTGATCTTGGCACTATGGGCCCGCTCGGTCTCACAACATCCGTTGGCAAGGGCGGAGACAGTTTCCTTGAAATTGGCGAAAGAAACACGATTGAGTCCCTAGAGGCTGATACTAGCAAATTCGATTTCATGTGGCACGGTATGATACGTTTGTCCCAATTTATAACATTACTAATGGTTTGGCGTAGACGGAGATATTGCATATGCCGACTACTGGCTTAAGGAGGAGATCCAAGGTTTCCTCCCTAACACCACTATCGCTGAGGGATACAAGGTCTACGAGTCCATCCTGAATGCCTTTTACAACGACATGGCCTCGGTCACCGCGTTCAAGCCTTACATGGTTGGCCCCGGTAACCACGAGGCAAACTGTGATAACGCAAGGGCAACCGATAAGGCAAAGAACATCACCTACGATTCCAGCATCTGCATGCCCGGCCAGACTAACTTCACGGGTTTCCGCAACCACTTCCGCATGCCTAGCGAGGAGTCCGGTGGCGTTGAGAACTTCTGGTACTCTTTCGATCATGGGATGACGCATTACATCCAGCTGGATACCGAGACCGATCTCGGCCACGGCTACATTGGCCCCGTTGAGGCCAATGGAACCGAGGGATTCTCGGAAGGCCCATTCGGAATCATGAACCAGCAGACTACCTGGTTGGAGGACGATCTGAAGTCCGTGGACCGCACCAAGACTCCTTGGGTCATCGTTGGTACGTTTCCCCTACCCTCCATCAAACCACCCCCTAATTCTAACCCTCAACCTAGCTGGCCACCGTCCTTGGTACCTAAGCGCTAAGAACGAATCCTTCACCATCTGCTGGGGCTGCAAGGAGGTCTTCGAGCCCCTCCTGATCAAATACAACGTTGACCTGGTCTACTCCGGCCACGCACACGTCTACGAGCGCCTCGCCCCCATGAACAACGGTGTCAGCGACCCTAACGAGCTCAACAACCCAGCCGCACCATGGTACATCACCAACGGCGCCGCTGGCCACTATGACGGTCTCGACGCCCTCAACGAGCACCATGACTACTCGCGCTTCGACCTTGACATCGAGGACCACGCGTACGGCTGGAGCAGAGTCACCTTCCACAACTGCACTCACATGACGCACGAGTACATTGCGAGCAGGAACGGCAGCGTGCTCGACTCGGCGACGCTGATTAAGGACCGCAAGTGTGCGTTTTCGTCTGGCGGTGGTAATGGCACCGTGACGCCAACTGGACCTTCTACTGTCCTGACTGTACCAACTAGTGATGGTGGCGTGATCTCTGCTCTTTCGAGACTAGTTGCCTTTGCGCTAGTTAACTTTGCGCTTTAGTACATAATACTATGCTACGCCGCCTTTATCAGTGTGCGGCGAATCACCTCCCGAATACGATTCGGCGATTCGGTGATTCATTCATATGAGGTATTCGCCGAATCATGACTCGAATCTAATTTGAGTCATGATTCGAATCTTTTAAGGCTTAAATAGAGTGTATGAATATTGAAAACTATAGAAAATATTTAACTATGCCTAACCTATAACGTACATGTATAGCGAAAGCGCCAAACAAGCGAACGCGCCAAAATTATCTACCCTCACGACAAACATTGCGATAAATCTACCACAACATTAGAAATCAATTGAAACTACTCGGAGTCCTCTTCCTCAGAGGTGTCTATTACAATCTGACACGTGCGCGCATTGTGCCCAGTCTCACCACACTTGCCACAGCGACGGGCACGGGTTTCTTCCCTTGGCTTCCGACCACGGCTTGCCCTTATTTCCTGCTCTACCTGCTGCACAACATCCCTCTCATCCTGTAGCTCTTGCGCCCCTTGTTGACTAAGTGATCCTCCTTGCTGTAGTCGTGTTTTCCTAGCTCTCCGGCGCTTGCTTAGTACTTCATTTGCCTGTCGTAGGTTTTGGTTCTCTCCCTTTAGCAGTGCTAATTGATGCATTATTTGCGATGCACCCTTTGTAAACTGGTCAACAGCTGCATAGATTGAGGTTGGAGAGCTATTTTGATGGCGTGAAATCCGAGTTTTAATAAATGTAGACTGTGACATAGCTTCAATTGGGTTGTTTGGTGTCTGAGAAACCCAAGGTTGAGCAGTACCTGGGCGGGAGCTTGGAGGCATTGGTGTCCTTAACTTAAGATCAAGTGTAGATATCACTCTCTCAGGGTCAAATGGAAGAAGCCCTGCCCCTCGGAACCCGCCTCGAATGTTACTTTCCGTCATTGTAGTGTTAAATGCAGCGTGGAAGGCAGGAAAGAAGTCATCCTTTGTAATATGAGAAATATGAGCCTGCATCATATCTTCAATTTGCCGACCATAGGCCTGCTTTAACGGGCCGAAACAGCCAACATCAAGTGGCTGGAGTAGATGAGAAGAGTGAGCAGGCATACAAAGCGTAATAATGTTGTGTTCCTTGCAGTACTCCTCAAACTCATCTGAGTGGTGGCTCTCATGACCATCAAGGACTAACAAGCGATAACCACCAACACTCTGGGCCTTTGTATGCTTCTCAAAGTGCTGAATCCAATCCATGCCTCTCTCGTTTGTAGTCCAGCCATTTTCAGTAACAGAAATCACCCAATCGCTTGAAAATCCACTATTCTCATACCAAGATGTAAGGTGGTTTTTGCCTGCAACAATGATAAATGGTGGTACTGCCCAACCTTGAGAACTAACGCCTTGGATTACTGTAACCCATTCCCGATTACCAGGCTGTACCTTCTTTGCTTTTGCCCGCCCGTCTGAGCTTGTTACAACCATAGCAGTTGAGATAACGCCCATCATAAACCCAGTCTCATCAAAGTTGTAGATATCTGCTTCATCGATACCATATTTTGCAATTGTGTTACGCACAAGCTCAAACCAGCCATTAATAACTTCTGGATCTTCGCACTTAGCCCTCTGGTAGTCGTATTTGCGCTGAAAGCGTGTCCGGAGCTCTACACGCCGCTTAACAAAGTTTGAAGCCCAACGCGACCCAACGCGTGACGCGTCACGTGTTGCAAGTAGTCGACTTGCCATATCTTCAACAATAGACAACTGAGGAGGAAACCCTTTAGCAGCTAAGTCAAGTATATACTGAACAAGAACTGATTCCTCTAGGTTACTTAATTTCCGTAAGTTGGCTTGGATATCGCGTCTTGAAGGTACGCCTTGTAAACGGTGATGTAGCTTGCGTTTTGGCACTTTCGCTTGTTTGTCACTTTCGTTATACATGCACGTTAGTCATGATTATTATGATTATTTGTGCTAACCCTGGCAAGAGCACAGTTTGCAGCTTGTTATAACAAGTATAAAGCATAGGACAATGATATTTAAGCAGAGGAAATGGATGCTATGCTTAGGATGAGGATATACCTTAAAAAGTGGACTCTAAGGATGAGATGTTTAAGCATTGAAAACCTATACTTCAAGAGGTTGAATGGTGACGGTGGGTTAATGAGCTGGGAGTTGATAAGCCTAAGACTAATATCCTTAAATATTAGCAAGCAAAGCAGTATCAGTATCTAGGGGGATAATTGTCGACGATGAGGATATCGAAGATGCAAGTGAAGATAACGTACATGTATAGCGAAAGCGCCAAACAAGCGAAAGTGCCAAAATGATGCGGTGACCAAACCCCCCAACTAAATGTTAAATTCCTCAACAACAAAACATGCCCCATAAAAACGATGAAAGCCAATTAGTGCTAGCTATCCAGGCTATGCAAAGCGACCCAAAGTTACGCCTTCGAGTTGCTGCTAGGATCTATTCTGTGGACCACCGCAAGCTAGGTCGTCGTCTAGAAGGTGTACCTTCACGACGCGATATCCAAGCCAACTCACAGAAATTAACTAACCTAGAGGAGTCCGTCCTTGTTCAGTATATACTCGACCTAGCTGCCAAAGGGTTTCCTCCTCGGCTGTCTGTTGTTGAAGATATGGCAAGTCGACTACTTGCAACACGTGACGCGTCACGCGTTGGGTCGCGTTGGGCTTCAAACTTTGTTAAGCGGCGTGTAGAGCTCCGGACACGCTTTCAGCGCAAATACGACTACCAGAGGGCTAAGTGCGAAGATCCAGAAGTTATTAATGGCTGGTTTGAGCTTGTGCGTAACACAATTGCAAAATATGGTATCGATGAAGCAGATATCTACAACTTTGATGAGACTGGGTTTATGATGGGCGTTATCTCAACTGCTATGGTTGTAACAAGCTCAGACGGGCGGGCAAAAGCAAAGAAGGTACAGCCTGGTAATCGGGAATGGGTTACAGTAATCCAAGGCGTTAGTTCTCAAGGTTGGGCAGTACCACCATTTATCATTGTTGCAGGCAAAAACCACCTTACATCTTGGTATGAGAATAGTGGATTTTCAAGCGATTGGGTGATTTCTGTTACTGAAAATGGCTGGACTACAAACGAGAGAGGCATGGATTGGATTCAGCACTTTGAGAAGCATACAAAGGCCCAGAGTGTTGGTGGTTATCGCTTGTTAGTCCTTGATGGTCATGAGAGCCACCACTCAGATGAGTTTGAGGAGTACTGCAAGGAACACAACATTATTACGCTTTGTATGCCTGCTCACTCTTCTCATCTACTCCAGCCACTTGATGTTGGCTGTTTCGGCCCGTTAAAGCAGGCCTATGGTCGGCAAATTGAAGATATGATGCAGGCTCATATTTCTCATATTACAAAGGATGACTTCTTTCCTGCCTTCCACGCTGCATTTAACACTACAATGACGGAAAGTAACATTCGAGGCGGGTTCCGAGGGGCAGGGCTTCTTCCATTTGACCCTGAGAGAGTGATATCTACACTTGATCTTAAGTTAAGGACACCAATGCCTCCAAGCTCCCGCCCAGGTACTGCTCAACCTTGGGTTTCTCAGACACCAAACAACCCAATTGAAGCTATGTCACAGTCTACATTTATTAAAACTCGGATTTCACGCCATCAAAATAGCTCTCCAACCTCAATCTATGCAGCTGTTGACCAGTTTACAAAGGGTGCATCGCAAATAATGCATCAATTAGCACTGCTAAAGGGAGAGAACCAAAACCTACGACAGGCAAATGAAGTACTAAGCAAGCGCCGGAGAGCTAGGAAAACACGACTACAGCAAGGAGGATCACTTAGTCAACAAGGGGCGCAAGAGCTACAGGATGAGAGGGATGTTGTGCAGCAGGTAGAGCAGGAAATAAGGGCAAGCCGTGGTCGGAAGCCAAGGGAAGAAACCCGTGCCCGTCGCTGTGGCAAGTGTGGTGAGACTGGGCACAATGCGCGCACGTGTCAGATTGTAATAGACACCTCTGAGGAAGAGGACTCCGAGTAGTTTCAATTGATTTCTAATGTTGTGGTAGATTTATCGCAATGTTTGTCGTGAGGGTAGATAATTTTGGCGCTTTCGCTTGTTTGGCGCTTTCGCTATACATGTACGTTATCTCAACAACCCTTTAATAATAAGTTATAAAAATATGTACTTAGCCTTCTATAAGCATTTAAAGTACTCTATTTGATTTTTTAAGAGTAACATGCACCTTCGAACGAATCACCCGACACTACTACTTCCCAGGTATGAGGAAGCAGGTGGAAACGGTAGTAAGAGAGTGCGACATTTGCAACAAATCCAAAACCAATAGGCACTTGCCATATGGACAGCTGAAATTGACTCCAGTACCAACAGGAGCGTGGAAATCTATAGCTTTGGACTTCATTGTCAAGCTACCACCCTCTCGGGACCCGTTAACAGGAGTAGTATTTGACGCTATCCTGGTTATTACGGAAAGACTCACAAAATATGGAATATTTGTGCCATATTTAGAAGCTAGCGATGCTGAAGCACTCTCATACACCTTCCTTCGAGTCATATTAGCCGATCACGGATTACCGGAAGAAATCATCTCAGACAGAGACAAGCTTTTTACTTCGAAATTTTGGAAATCTTTAATGGCGCTTTTGGGAACAAATCATAAGCTATCAACAGCTTTCCATCCCCAAACAGATGGTCAAACAGAAAGACTGAATCCTTGAACAATATCTACGGAGTTATGTCAACCACCAACAAGACAATTGGGTTCAGATATTACCCATCGCACAGTTCGCATATAACAGCGCGATGACCGAAGCAACAAAAGTCTCACCGTTCTTTGCCAATTACGGCTATCAGCCAGAGGCATATAGACAACCACGACTGGATGAATCAAGAGCAGAACAAGCTATGATCGCCGTGGAACAACTCAAATCGTTCCATGAACAACTCGCGACAGACATCCAATTCTTAAATGAACGATCTGCTGCATATGCAAACAAGAAGCGCAGTATGGAACCTGCCTTCAAGGAGGGGGATAAAGTATACCTACTCCAGAAACATATCAAAACGAGACGACCAAGTACAAAGTTGGACTTCAAGAAATTGGGACCATTCAAAATATTGAACAAAGTCAGCTCAGTTAATTACAGACTGCAGCTACCCAAGAAGTCTAGACTACACCCGGTATTTCATGTCTCACTACTGGAACCAGCAAGAGGAAATACCCCAATTGCGACCGATACGGAACTTCAACCAGAGAATGAGATTGTTGAATACGAAGTCGAAGCGATCCTAGACAGAAGGTTAGTAGGACGCAAAGAAGAGTTTTTGATAAAATGGAAGGGTTATGAACCTACAACAATTCATGGGAAACGGTCAGAAACCTTAGCTGTCCAGAGCTACTGGAGGCGTTTCGCCGTCGACACCCAAGCGATCAAAGAAGCCAGGAGACAGGGCCACAAAAAGGTCCTGGTCAGGGGCAGCACCCTCGGAAACGGCAGTAGAAGGGCTGTGCAAGAGAGTCCCTTTGACCTCTGCCTCCCTACACTCCTTCTCCTCTGCTTCATCCAATTCGTCCAAAGATTTCAGACCACGACGCAGCATCTCAACACCGCGGGTTTTGAGAGCCTTCTGCTGTTTGCGAAGACGCATGCGACGGGCATATGCTTCTTGAGCGCAGAGGTGAGCCTCTCGCTCCTGAGATGCCGCCGCTTCCTCTTCTACCTCAAGACGCTCTTCTTCTTTTCGAAGCTTCTCCCAATCAGTTGGAGAAGGGGTGCAAGCGTTGCATTTGGAATTGCGACGAGTACATTCACTACAACGATGACTACCAGCAACAACAATACAGAATCGATTGTTGTGAAGACAGCTGGAACATGGCGACATTAGGTTGCCATTCTTTTCAATACTGTCTGCAAGAAGATGACGTTCTTTGATTTTTATGTGTCTACTAGAAGACATGGTAAGCAGCGCAACCTGCTCGACAATTAAGTGGGCATCACCCTACTTAAGTAAGCAATTCCTTAATCAGCAAGACCTAAGGGACTAGGCCTTTTGGAGGAGGACCTAGTGTTACGGCTATAGTAACATGATGTCATGGTTACAGGGCCAGGGCCTAGTAACGTGACATGTGAGTCACAGTGGGAAGCGGGGTAGGCTGCCATGTGATGGGGCTAATGGATAGTTGCAGAAACTAGTGGATATTGGATAGTTGAGCTATCCACGAACTATCCTGAATATCTAGCTATCCGCCAACTATCCAGATTACCCATGAGGCATGACGCCACTATATAAGTAGATAGTATTTCCTTAGATAGGAGCTTTGTGCTCAACTCAATATAGTATTCTTTACAATACTGTAACGTGTTACTTGGAAAGCCTTTGTGTCTAATCCCCTGCCTCCTCTGTCAAGTCAACCTTACGCAAGAAACCTCTGTGTCTTCTATCGTTTAGAAGTCAGCGTTACATTAGAGTAGCGCTAGGATCGGTTGGTGTTGTAGTGGCTATGGTAGTGGCTTTAGAGGTGGTAAGGGTGTTAGTAGGGGTGCAGCTAGTTCTTCTATTCAAAGGTTAATCGTCGTAACCAACTTTTCGCTTCGCTCAAGGTTGGAGGAGGATCCGCGCGCACGAGAAATGGAGGGGAAGCGAAGTGCGCGCATGAGAAAAATTGTAGTCCTAAGTGTAATGGTGGGTGCACCAGATGTGAGAATCTAGCCACCCAAGGAAGGGATGAATTTACTAAGACAACACACTGTCTTAGAAAACAGAGCCAAATGGTTGTAGCTTAGACTATTCCACAACGCAGCAATCAGGTGTGTGATGTAGTGAAGTGGTTCAGACAAGTTGCAACAAATGTTGAGTCTGGGAACTCGGGGGTAAGTCAGAGGTTAACACCTCACTGACTTTTCAGAAACAAGGAGTAACAAGATGAATGCTTGGAAGCTTGGAAAAGACGTGGAAGTATGTGATAGTCGATTTACTGTATTGTCTGCTTGCCCTTTCTTAAGGAAAGGGCAATCCTATTTATGCTAAAGGAGTGTAGTTCTCTCATTTTCCAAGACTTTCCATGACTTACCAGGCTTGGTAACTGTAGTCGACGTAAGAGAATCCCATAGAACCATCTCTTAGGTTCGTAGCCTATAGGAAGTAAAAGGAGGTCCAAGGTCAGAGTACCCCTATAGACAAATTATGTCATAGACAAATTATGTCATAGACAAATTATGTCATAACTTAACCAATCTTGTGGGTAACTAAAGAGCGATGACATGTAATGAATCATAGAGGTTCGTAGGAGCTTTTAGAGCTATCGTTCATGCTCCTAGGCCTCTAGTTGGTAGAGATATGTCATGTGGTAGTATGAGTGATGTCATGTAATGAATCATAGAGGGTTGTAGAGATATGCTATGTGGTAATATCGGCCCAGTAACTAAGGAGCGATGACGTGTAATGAATCATAGATGGTTGTAGCAATCGTTGGGTAGTATTGCTCTTGTTGTTGGTGTGATAAGCCAAAATATGTATAGTGACTTGTAGGTTTGAGGAGATTTCCAAGTTTGCTCTTGAGTTTGATAGCAAACTGAGTGCAACGAATGTCAGTATGACACTAAGTACCTCCCTATACTAAATTGTATGTAAAGGTACATAAAGGTACGAAAAGTGGAGGGTTTAGGGGTAATAGGCCATATTGGTAAGGTAGGCGTAGGCTCTTCTGTAGGCTGGGTAGTAGGCTGCGAGTATGTACGTAGCTTCGTGAGGGCTGTATTACAGCTTATTGGCCAGATTCCAGCTTTCCGGAAAGCTGAGAGTATTGTAGACTCCTTAAAAGTCTGTTCCCGGATTTTGGTGAGATCTCTCATAAATGAGGGTAGGTTGTATGTAACGTCCATATTCCATATGGCATAGAGCACAGCCTCTCGGTGCCAGTGCTTATATGGCTGGAATATTCCCACATCTAATGGCTGTAAAATGTGTGTAAGGTGTGAGGGAAAGGCGAAAACGATGATGTTATATTTGTCTGCTGTAATGATGAAATCATCACTCGTATGGCTTATATGAGAATCAAGGAGTAGAACCCTGGGATTCCCATTTGCATATGGAGCTGTATGCACTGCAAAGTGCTCTAGCCACCGTAAGGCAAGCTGGCTATTCAAATAGCCAGTATCAGAGAGTAATATCAGTTCTTTGCCTTTAAGATTTTCTGGGTACCAAGAATCCATATGGATTTTACCCGGTACAATAAGTACAGGTGGAATTACTCTTCCTGTTGCAGATACTGTCTCCATAACTGTAATAGACGTACGATTCTCAGGGCTTGGAGTATAGAGTTCTTTTACTGCCTGTGGTACCATAACTCTCTCACCTCCAGGAATTCCAATCCTAAATCCCGTTTCATCCATATTCCAAATTGACTCAGGTAATATATTGTGATCCCATATAAATTGGAAGTATTTTTCAAACCATTCAATAATCTTAGATTCGTCTTGGGCTTTCGTACGCTGCTGTGCAATAGGCTTTGTAGTGATAAAATGGAATTCCGGAAGCTGATTCTGAATATATTTAGTAAGCCAGCTCTGTGACGGTGGAGGTAATGGGCTCCGGAGCTGGCAGACTGCAGTAAATAGCATATTCCTATTGGCTCCAAGCCCTAGGTAATATTGCTCAAGGATCCATTTCTTAAGGGCCTCTGCCTGAGCAGTAGAGAGTACCCTATTCTGCTCCCCTTTACGTTGCTGTGGGTTCTGAATACGGCGCTTGATGCTTCCTCGTAGAGTTGATTCTGGGACCTTGAAAATACGACTAGCAACACGCCTCGACTCAGAAGGATTTTCTGCGAGCCACTCACGGGCATTTGATATAGGAGTCCCTTCCATTAAATGAATTACATCAGGTTACAATATAAATTACTATGTACAGCTATGGAAATGGTTTTGTTGAAGAGTAGCGGTGATCAGACGCACGTTTCTCGTGCGCGTACTTCGCTTCCCCTCCATTTCTCGTGCGCGCGGATCGCTTCCTCCAACCTTGAGCGAAGCGAAAAGTTGGTTACGACGATTAGTATACACTAACCAATCAAACAAAACAAAAGGAAAGGAAAGGAATTGAACTTACCGGTGGCTTTGAGGCCAGAAGCCTCGGTGGTAGCAGGGTTGGCGGTGGTCATTGTCGCGTTGTTGAAGAAGGAAGGGTGGGTTTGGAGGTACTGGGTTTACGGGTCGTGGTCACGTGACTAACGCCCAATCACATGCTTACGTGGCTTCACGGCAGGCTTATTACAAACCGGCGCCTACGGCGCTGCTTAGAATCGAAAACCACGATTAAGGCCCAATATCCATAGTATAGTACAGTATCCAAGAGCAGTGAGAGACTTTTCCCTTTAGAGAATATTTACCCTTCTTTCTCCCAAGGTCCGGCTTTGTTCCTTCCACCTTCCTTTTCCCTATATACTCTCTTTTATATTTCCCTGTGTGCTTGCATGTGCCAAATCTCAATTTCACAGTAGTGGTGCCACCTTGGGGATGACTCAAGGCGGTTCCTGGTGTACCTGTCAATTATAAAGGTAGGACATCGAGGCACCAGATTTCAAGAGACGGCCGGCGACAGCCCTTCTGCCGTTACAGTCCTCTCTTCAAGAGCAATTGATATTAGCAGACTTCAAATTGTATTCAGCTTTTGGCCCATTGCCAAATATCGGGTCTCTGTTTTGTCGGGTTTGTTAGCTTCTTCCAGCCTGGGATGTTTTATACTGACTGTATGTTGGAGAAGGTACCAGGATCAGCTCCCCAGATATAGACTGGGAGAGCGGCCTAGTACCAAAAATGGCGTCGAACAGATGGTACTATGGGCTAGTGGAAGATACACCGGAAAATGAGATATCCACAGAGAATATCCTCGAATCCCCGAGGATAAGGAAGCCACCGGGCGGGATCTCCGCTGATACACTGGTTCAAAAGAGCGAGCCCAATCGACCTGAGCGTGGCCGGAGACGTCTTGAGCAGCTTGTGAAGGGAAAGAATGGCCCCCAGGCTGGTATTGAAAGTACCACGGCAGAGAGCCTAAGGGACGCACGCTCCATGGGAAATAACAGTTCTGATTTCCACCCAGGCACGCCAATGATAGAGGGGGTTTCTGACAGCGAGCGGCTGCAAGAGGTCGAATCGGTGATTGTGGTTGAAAGAACACCAAAGCGGGCCAAAACAAAGAGCAGATCCAATGAAGCAGAGAATCTAGCCATGGAACTTGGTTTTAATGCCCCTGGAGTCATCGAACCTGAAAGGTCTAATGGCCACGTTGTAACGGGAAGGGAGGCCCCTGTAGAAGATGTCAGTTTTGCCGACACCCCTTCTCCCGGCTTCAAACAAGCAAACCTCAGATCTACTCGGAGTTCAACTCGGCGGCCAAATAAGGCTTCTTGCCACCAGTCTCCTACAGGAACTGTAACTGACGGCCTTATAAACACCTCCGACGCCTTCAGTGCCCGGCCCCAGGAGGGTTCTGGGTGTGTCGCCGTGGTCAACGGTGCGTCGAGTACTACTGCTGCGTATTCAGGCATATCCACGAAGACTTTCAATGAAGAACTCACCCAGAACAATTCGACAGCGTCTATACTACAAAGGCCTGGACGGACATCACCCTCTACCGGCTTCCATGGCAAAAGCAGTCTTGATGATTCACAATCCACTTCACTTCTTTTAGATCAAACTCTACAGCGGCGGCTTCGATCCTCCTTTCATCAAACAATTCCTCAACGTCAGCTTCAATCTTCCTTTGGTCAGTTTACAGATAGATTGAAAGACAAGTCTAGTATACTCCAGGCGCAAGACTCCTCCGCAACTCTTCTATCAACGCCTGCTTTCAGCAGCACCACCCCACTCGATTCATCACATAACACATCCCATCTATCTGACTATAAGTCTATTGCAACCTCCCAAGTCAACACATCTACAACTATTCAACAAGATCAACGAACTCACAACCTGTTGATCACAGACACCGAATATATGGCCGAAGCTGGTACTCGGCAAAGCAGCGCCGTAGAGCTGGATAGTGACAATAGTTCGGTGCTCTCAGATCTCGACTCGATCGACTTCACTGAAGAAGAAGCCGCCTTGCTTTTGAATTCACATCAGCCAGAACTGGCTGCAGAGCAGGAGCCAAATACCCAACCAGCCAAGTCTCGGCCGGCACGCCAGAAGAAGCAAACGCCAAAGAGGCCTTGTGGAAGACCTCCGAAAGAGAAGAATGAATTGCAAAAAGCGGCGGCCCATGCGAAAGCTGTCACAAAAAAGCCACCCGCGAAACCCAGGCCACCAAAGGGGGCCAGTCGAGCATCTGGAAGGAAGAAAAAAGTAGACGAAGATGATGAGAAAGATGATTTCCAGCCAGAAAAGGACTTTGGATCCGCTATATCGGAGTCGGGAGTGGTAAGTAACAATTAGACGCCCGGGACACCAGGCTCTGGCTGATACGGGAAATAGGGCCTTCGAGACAGGTCGAAGCTCAAGGCACCAGTTACGTATGAGGACCGGGTTGATGCAACTACGGACTTGATGCAAAGACCAGGTGCCAGGACTGGATTGAAAATGGTTGTCTCTACGAAGAAGTCTGGGAAAACTCGTGGTACGTTGTCTTCCCCTTATTTTTGCGATTTCTCATCGTTATAAACCGAGTCGGTCCTTGTTCTCGCAGTTAGTTACGTCTTGCATCAAGTTGGTATATGTACAGGCTTGCATCTACATTGCGCCCAGATGCTGCCTGTATTGAGTGGCATCGGGATAAGAATGAAGCAAGTGCGAAGTTCTACTCTCGATGCCACTTGGGTAAAAGTCTCATATGCCTCAAGAACTTGGTTACTTTTAGGACTAGATTGGGGTGTCGTATTGTCCAATTCGAGTAACCTGCAGGGTGGCACGGGCCGCCTCAACGGGTTGATAAACCGGCAGAACGGCAAGCGGACTGCCCAAGCGGGATGCGGTGTACCCCATACCTGCCTTTATCCCAGAGCCTCACACACGGACGGAGCGTATCACACCCCCACCTTCTCGTCCATTTCTCGTGCATCCCACCTTCCCACCACAATTTTGTTCGCCATCTCTCTTTTTCCTTCTTCTCTTCTTCCTCCATATCTTCATATCTTCCTGCTTTTTCACCAGTTTGAACACATTCCATCCTCCCCTTCCCATTCCCTCCTATCTTTCATAGATTGTGGTTCATGTCTGTACCACTGTATACATGTAATGCCCATTCACCTTCTCCCATTTGAACCTCTCCAACTCTTTTGCCATATGGTGGTTGGCATCTTGCATTGGAGGTCATAACCAATCTAAAATCGTACTGGTCTTGACAAATATCTTTGAACCTTGACTTTCCTTGCACCTCCTCAAATATCTGGCGTTTGCCTATTCTTATTAATTTTTCATGATCTGTCATCTCTATTTCCTCATCTCTCGGTTCTGCGTTGGTGTAAGATCCTTCAATGATGTCTTACTTTGAGGACGACGAGGAGTTTGCACGGCAGCTACAAAAAGAGATGAATAATAACCCGAGACGCACAGCTACAAGGGCTTCCGCAACCCCATCCAACGTTCGGGCTCCTTCGCGAAAGAAGGCTACTCCATCAACACCTCGTACCCCAGGAGTGTCAAAGAAACCCCCTCCAAGCAGCTCCAAGTACGCCGAACCAAAACCCTCACCGCATGACTCTGGATTCAGTGAGGTTGCTTCTACAGATGACGAACAAGTTCTGAGCGACTTCACCCCTCCCTCAAGCTCGTCGTCTGATTCACCACAAGAATCTTCTGTCGTATCACCGTCTTCGACCGAAGAAGACGCCAAGGAGGACATCGTCGAACCTTCTTCTCCTGAGGTTAGTATATATATCATCCTTGACTCCACTTGAGGCTCTATATATTCTAGCTTGTTTATTTCTGTGACATTTAATATTTATTTTTATTTTAGGTCGCTTTCATGAGAGAGAGAAAAGCTCACGGTTACTTTGTTACCAATATTACCGTAAAGGATGCAGACGCCAGGACTTACCCTCCAATTGGCCCTGAACTGCTTGAACTGGCCCGGAAGGCATGGTCTAACGGTCATATTGCAAAAAGATGGAATCCTGAAGTCGCCCGATTTGTAGACGGAATATGGATGGCTCCGGATATGTGTGATAGGTATGTCTCCTGCGCCTCTCTTATACCCGTTTTCTGACGTTATATAGCTGCCGGGCTGTTAAACGCGATAATTGCGATAGAGCATTTCCCTGCTCATCTTGCACCAAGAAGGGCAGACATTGCAATCTAAGAACCGTGATGATGAGAACGGCGTGCAACAAAAATCCGGAATATAATGGGGATATAACCCCGCTGCATTTAAATGCACCCATAGTTTCTCAAAGCGGCGATGAAACTTGGAATTCAGTGAAACAGGCGTCTCCTACGATTCGCCCCCAGAAACGAAAGAGGGGAGATGCAAGTAAGGACACTGCAAAGAGCAAGGGCCGACGTGCAGTTACTACAACTCGTGACAAACGATTGAGCAATGGGACGGGCCGTTCCGGTGAAATCCCCCAGCACTTTAAGGCACCCCACATTGTTCAGGACGGCGATGCAACATGGAATTTAACGGAGCAGGCGGGTCCTACAAGCAACTCTTGGAAACAAAAGCGCAAATATGCTGGCGCTTCTGGTAATGTGTCGGCTAAGAAGCAACACAGATCACCTGAATCGGGATATTCCAGTAGCGAAGAGAAATACGTTGAAGATCCCGCCAAGCCTGGACAAGCCCTGGTTCGTTCTAAAAAAGGCCCAAAGGCGTCTGGCAAATACATCCCTTACCATCAATCAAAACAGGAGAACTTACCCGCCCCATATGGCCAGCCGCCCGTGTGGGCATCGAAGCGACAACAACTCTGTGAAACTTTGCCATATTACAGAGCATATATGTCCGGGGGATATCTGCACGATGGCCTCGTCCGTGCAATTTTAATTGACAAGGAAGTCAGAGAACGCGATGTTTTCGATGAAGAAGTTGTCATAACTCGATGGTAAGTTGTCTATTGCAATTCTTATTTGATACCAAGAAACTGATTTATATAGTGGTGGAGGACGTAAGCTGGATGAGGCAACTAACAAGATGGTTCAAACAACAGACCAGGAGAGAAGTGCGTATGGTCTTGGGTTCGAACGGGCTAGGGATATGCGTAGTCCTGTCGTAGTCATTGCTGGCAAGTCCCAGACTCCTCGTAGTAACTGGTATGAAGATTGACTAACCATTATTTAGGTCAGGGAAACTCCAGAAGTCCCTCGAAGCTTCCACACTATTACAATATCCTCGATTGGTTCCATGTTACTGACGTATGGGTGGAGAAGGTAGAGGGATTCAAGACATGGTGCGTGAGAATCGAGAAAATTCGCCTCGACGAGAAGTCTTGGTGGGCCAAGGCTGGCAGTGCTCTACCGAGTCCATACTGCGACCTGGATTCCATCAAAGCAGCTTCGGGGAAATGCTGTTATTGTAAAGACATCAGCAAGGTTATATTTGAACAAGGATGGACTTGCTTGAAGGCATCGTGTGACAAGTTCTTTATTTTCGATTCGCCTATTGACGATCGGAAACTCATCTATACAGAGACGTTTCTGAAGGAGCGTACCGCTTATACTGGGAATACACCAGGGCTATTGGCGCCTCCTCTCATGACCGAAGCCGATATGATCATCACTGGGAAACGTGGGACCGAATTCGCCTTCAAACAAGGTATCGTATGCCCGCTGTGTAACGGCTGCAGCCGTCGGAAGCAATGGTCAAAATGGAATTGTGAGACGGTGGGTTGTGGCTTTACTCACTCGTTGCCTTTCCAAATAATGAGTGTTCACGACACAATGTCGGATATTGCACGGAATCACCGGCAACAGAACTACGAACCCAAATTTGGAATTAAGTTTGAGGCAAAGACACTGGGCGCATATAACGTCTTTGAGTACGGTGTTCCAGGTCCAGAAGGGAAACCCGTAGGCGTTCTCCGGCTTTTCAAGTCGAACGATGCCATTAATCTCAATCCTGACGGCCCCAACGACCTCTTCCGATTGATGCAAGAGAGTGAGTTCGATCTCCAGAGGCGGCCTGTACGGCAACCGAATTCAAGTGGAGAGGTTCTCACCAATCACTTCGCAACCAACTGGGGCGCACCGTATAAATTTATCGTCGCACAGTCATCCAGAGGATTCAGTGAAGCCCCAACAGTAATTATCAAGGCTTTGAAAAGATTGACGTGGGCTGGTGAACAGACTCTTACTGACGTTGGAGAGCCCTTCCACCCATTCAATGAGCTCCTTTCGATTGGGTATTTTCAAGACTGCAGCATTGGATACCACGATGATGGCGAGTCGACACTAGGCCCAACAGTAGCCACACTCTCACTCGGTGCCTCAGCCACCATGTCTCTTCGCCCCAAAGCAAAAGCAGCGGTGGGAATTACTTCAAAGAATGCCAAGGGTACTAAAGCTCCTGTTATTCGCGTGACTCTTGAGCATGGTGACATGGTCATAATGCACGGGTCTGGAGTTCAGCAGTACTACGAGCATGAGGTTGTACCACATGGGACTCTTCGGTTTGCGTTAACCAGCCGTTATATCCAACCTGCAGAACTTGAAAGCGATACCGTCAGAGAGGAAGCTAGGATCAAGGGCGCGTTACCTAAAGGTCATGAGCAGTACAAGTATGATGGAGACGAGAACGCTATCTTCTCACCAGAAGAAGTGAAGAAGGCCGAGAAGGATGCGAGGCTAAATGCGTTGATGCGCTCAGTAAACGATGCTGCGGCAATACGCAAGGCTATCGAGTCTCAAGGCGACGATGATGAGCGTTGTCAGATGCAAGACATTATGGGTCAATTTGAAAATGGAACCCTCGCCCGTAGGTTGGTTGTCGAGCGGATGTGCTCAAAGGAGAGCGGGGAGGAAGTCGATGTGCCAATGCCCGGTGCCACCTAACCGCTTTACGGGCCGTTTGGGCAAGCATGCCTTGGTGCAAGGACTATTTATTACTTCATTATTTTATATTCAATTTGCTCACGTTTGCGAAGGTCGATTATGCTCTCGGCGCATTTTTCAGCTCGATATATTTTCTCGGGGGGTTCTGGGCATTGCCATCAAAGACTGCAATTCAATTTCCGGCGGGATATCACGGGCTGGATTGATCCTGATTATACATTAGCATATATTACAAGCGCGTTTACGACCATATTTTCAGCTTTGAGGGGTTTTGCGATGACAGGGAGGGGATGGACACCTATGCTTATATTTTGAGATTTTGGGAGAAAGGAAGGGAGGGCATGGCAAGTCGCTTTATAATTCTCATTGGCCAGGGCTCCTTTATATCTGCGCGGTTGCTTACAATATGTTTTATCGAAAATGGGGCAGGGAATGGATGGATGAATCTTGGAGTGGGTGCGTTGCGGTGTGCTTCGATCAGTTGCCGAGGGAGTTGCTAAATATTTCAGCGAAGAATTTGACGTTATGGCTTCTGAAAGTGTGCACTAAATGTGACTGGTATAGTGACATTTATTTTGATGCTCATGTTGTGAATACAAGATCCAATCCGTCAGGCACCATCATGTATCAGTGATTGTATCCTAAATGACCATGCTATATTCCTCCAACATTAAGGGTCGAATTTTCACCCCATACCACTAAACTCATGCTGGTGTGCCAGGCAGTGGAAGATTATAAAACATGACAGTGAACCAATTGGAAGTATTATTCCCGTCTATCTACGCAATCGTATCTTCTACATCTGCTGATGATATGCATCCCACCCCAGCTGCTTCATCTTCACGCCCTTGAGGTCGAGATTCTCCTCCTTCGCCGCCTTCGCATACGCCTCCACCTTTGCCTGCACACCCGCATCAAACGCCCCCAAAATCCTCGCCGCCAACAACGCCGCATTAATACTATTATTAATCCCCACTGTCGCAACCGGGACACCTATTATTCACTGTTAGCAAAGGCTCTCACTCATCATCGGGTCAAATACGCACCTCGCGGCATCTGCACAATGCTATACAAACTATCCACCCCATCCAACGCGCTCCCCTTCACCGGCACGCCAATAACTGGCAGTGCCGTATACGCAGCCGCCATCCCCGGCAAATGTGCTGCACCACCCGCAGCCGCAATGATAACCTTGATACCCCGCCCGGCAGCTGTCGAGCTGTACGTAGCCATGTACTCGGGCGTCCTGTGAGCAGAGGTAATCTCCACCTCGGGTGCGATACCGAAGTAATCGCGCAGCAACCTGAGCCCGGGAATCAGCGTCTTGAGATCGCTGTCGGAACCCATTATTACGCCCACTGTAGGGTGGACGTTGAGACGCGGAAGGGGCTGCGTGTAGAGGATGTTTGATTCTGTGGCGGCTCCGCCAACGAATTCAAGCAGTGGCGCAATTGTGCGCTCCGCCTCTTTCATCGTGCGGGCCGTCACGGTGACATGACCCATCTTTCGGCCTGGACGCCCTGCACCTTTGCCGTAGAGGTGTACACTCGCGTTCGGGATTGAGAGGGCGCGCTCGGCGACCTGCAGATGGGCCTCTGGTGTTGCGCCGCCGAGTATATTCAGCATGATGGCTGGGTCGCGGATCTCGAGGCTCTGTGCGGGGATGGGAAGGTCAAGGATGGCGCGGAGGTGGGCCTCGAATTGCGAGATGGAACAGGCTTCGATGGTGTAGTGGCCTGAGTTGTGGATGCGGCACGCTAGCTCGCAGAGGAGGAGCGATTTATCGGGGAGGAGGAACATTTCGACGCCGAAGACCCCGAGGCCGTCGAAGGCGGCGACGGTTTTGCGGGCGAGGGCTTGGGCTTGCTGGTTGATTTCGTCGGAGATGTTGCGGGCGGGGGCGTAGACGAGCTTGCAGATGGAGTCTTCTTGGACGGTTTCGACGGTTGGATAGGAGAGGACGCCGTCTTTGGTTTTGACGACGATAACGGCTACTTCCATTGTGAAGTTTGCCCATTTCTCAGCGTATAGTGGGCGGTTCTCGAGAGCTTTGAGGGCTGCGGGGATATCTGCTTTGGTTTTGACGGAGTAATTTCCTGTGGTGGGATACCAGGTTAGTTACAAGCGCCAATATATATTCGTGGGCCTCTTACCTCTTCCATCATATGCTTGTGTTTTCGACTTGAGCATCATGGGGAAGCCAAGTTCCTCTCCGATCGCGGCCAGCTCTTCGGCGGTGTTGTTGCTCAGCTCACGGTAGTCGGCCATTGCGATGTCGAATTTCGACAAATGCTCCTTCTGATTAAACTTGTTCTGGATCGTACGAATTGTCTGCCAGCTCGGCTCAACCTTGACCTTCGAGGAGACTTCCTCGAGGGCGTAGGTATCGACGTGCTCAATCTCTGTCGTCAGGACGTCGCAAGTCTCTGCAAGCCTCCGCATCGATGGAGGGTCGGTGAATGATCCGTTGAAATGGCCATCGTGAGCGCTGATAAGTTTCGCCGGGGAATTGGGCGCATCCAGCACGTTGAGTTGGATGTTCAATCGGTTTGCAGCTTCCATCATCATCCGTCCCAGTTGCCCCCCACCAAGCACGCCCACCGAAGGAGTTGACAGCATCGTAAAGTCGGAGAGAAGAAATCTAGGGCTGGAATTAATCGGCGGTATGCCGCAATGTTCGCAGCTTGTAGGATTAAGAGTCGGCTTCACTGTGGTTGGGCTCTGAAGTCGATGAGTCTTAGCTTCAGTCCAGTGCCGTTGGATATTTTTCTTATCGGCGCGCACGCGGCGCATTATCGGATGGGGCTAGCCAATGTCCAGGGCGGTGTGCCTACCATTACGCGCTAGTGATTTAAATGGTTTAGCTTATGAGACTAATTGTTGACCCCGGCCCCGTCGTCACTGGCGAGATTCTGATATCACGTGGACTTCTTCCAACATGTTGGAATATATGGGCGCTTAACTGGAACCCTTTCATCGTAGACATCCTCTTCATCAAACCTGCTTTCATTTTCCTTTTCTCTCTTTTTTAGTTATCGATCTAATACTTTACCTTCATTTAAACTATCAACTGAGTCACAATTTTGTCCCACAATGGGAACCTCTCTGTAATGGTGGGTGTTACGACGGAACAAGAAGGCTGGCCAACTACAGGACAGGAAGGAGGGAGGTCGCATGAGACCGGCCCTGGTACCTGGAGGGGCAGCGGGGAATAGTAGTTCCGAAAGTATCACGTGACGGACTCACAGGATGATGAGAAGAGTCCTAAGAGTCCAGGACTCCGAGGACTCGAGTGAGTTCCCAGGAGTCCACTAGGCACGTGACGGACTCGCAGGATGATGAGAAGAGTCCTAAGAGTCCAGGACTCCGAGGACTCGAGTGAGTTCCCAAGAGTCCACTAGGCACGACGCCACTATATAAGTAGATAGTAGTTCCTTAGATAGGAGCTTCGTGCTCAACTCAATACAGTATTTGTTATATACTAGTAACGTGTTACTTGAAGCCTTTGTGTCTGATCCCCTGCCTCCTCTGATAAGTAAACCTTTACGCAAGAGAACCTCTGTGTCTTCTATCGTTTAGAAGTCAGCGTTACAGTGGGTGCACCAGATGTGAGAATCTAGCCACCCAAGGAAGGGATGAATTTACTAAGACAACACACTGTCTTAGAAAACAGAGCCAAAGGGTCGTAGCTTAGACTATTCCACAACGCAGCAATCAGGTGTGTGATGTAGTGAAGTGGTTCAGACAAGTTGCAACAAATGTTGAGTCTGGGAACTCAGGGGTAAGTCAGAGGTTAACACCTCACTGACTTTTCAGAAACAAGGAGTAACAAGATGAATGCTTGGAAGCTTGGAAAAGACGTGGAAGTATGTGATAGTCGATTTACTGTATTGTCTGCTTGCCCTTTCTTAAGGAAAGGGCAATCCTATTTATTCTAAAGGAGTGTAGTTCTCTCATTTTCCAAGACTTTCCATGACTTACCAGGCTTGGTAACTGTAGTCGACGTAAGAGAATCCCATAGAACCATCTCTTAGGTTCGTAGCCTATAGGAAGTAAAAGGAGGTCCAAGGTCAGAGTACCCCTATAGACAAATTATGTCATAGACAAATTATGTCATAGACAAATTATGTCATAGACAAATTATGTCATAACTTAACCAATCTTGTGGGTAACTAAAGAGCGATGACATGTAATGAATCATAGAGGTTCGTAGGAGCTTTTAGAGCTATCGTTCATGCTCCTAGGCCTTTAGTTGGTAGAGATATGTCATGTGGTAGTATGAGTGATGTCATGTAATGAATCATAGAGGGTTGTAGAGATATGCTATGTGGTCATATCGGCCCAGTAACTAAGGAGCGATGACGTGTAATGAATCATAGATGGTTGTAGCAATCGTTGAGTAGTATTGCTCTTGTTGTTGGTGTGATAAGCCAAAATATGTATAGTGACTTGTAGGTTTGAGGAGGAGATTTCCAAGTTTGCTCTTGAGTTTGATAGCAAACTGAGTGCAACGAATGTCAGTATGACACAAAGGAGTGTAGTTCTCTCATTTTCCAAGACTTTCTATGACTAACCAGGTGTCATACTGACATTCGTTGCACTCAGTTTGCTATCAAACTCAAGAGCAAACTTAGAAATCTCCTCCTCAAACCTACAAGTCACCATACATATCTTGGCTTATCACACCAACAACAGAAGCAATACTACTCAACGATTGCTGCAAACTCTTCTACTACATCTGTTTATGCTACATACATTACGGCATATCATTTGGACACTCATTGAACAAGTTATTAAGAAAATCTCCTCCTTAAGGGGGTGGGCCAATACTACCACATGGCATATCTCTACCAACTAGAGGCCTAGGAACATGAACGATAGCTCTAGAAGCTTCTACAACCCTCTATGATTCATTACACGTCATCGCTCCTTAGTTACCCACAAGATTGGTTAAGTTATGACATAATTTATCTATAGGTACTCTGACCTTGGACCTCCTTTTCACTTCCTATAGGCTAGGAACCCAAGAGATGGTTCTATGGGATTCTCTTACGTTCACTACATGATTAGCAAGCTAGTTGTGGGTCGCACTTGATTTCTAATACATTTACCAAGCCTGGTTAGTCATGGAAAGTCATGGAAAATGAGAGAACTACACTCCTTTGGCATAAATAGGATTGCCCTTTCCTTAAGAAAGGGCAAGCAGACAATACAGTAAATCGACTATCACATACTTCCACGTCTTTTCCAAGCTTCCAAGCATTCATCTTGTTACTCCTTGTTTCTGAAAAGTCAGTGAGGTGTTAACCTCTGACTTACCCCTGAGTTCCCAGACTCAACATTTGTTGCAACTTGTCTGAACCACTTCACTACATCACACACCTGATTGCTGCGTTGTGGAATAGTCTCAGCTACAACCCTTTGGCTCTGTTTCCTAAGACAGTGTGTTGTCTTAGTAAAATCATCCCTTCCTTGGGTGGCTAGATTCTCACATCTGGTGCACCCAACATTACA